AACATGTCTCGACTGCAGATCATCTCGTGCGTGTGGAGGAGGATATGACGACCATGGGAAAACCGATTCTTGACCAGCTGCTGGAGTCTCATTCGATTGCTACCCGAGAAAGTAATGAAATGTATATACGATCGACAATTTCTCCGCCTTCTCCATGGCCATTCCACATTAGTTCATGATTTGGAAGTCCTAAATCGATGAAAACAGGTGACAATGGTTCTAATGGTTACTCGACACGTCTCACATCGGTTAATCGCGGGTCGAATTTGAACAAGAGAGATGGTGCGCGTCTCTCGTTCAAATTCAAATTTCACTCGCGATACGTTGGAGGTGAAATTTGAATTTTGAAACAGAGCAAGGTCTGCTTTTACTATCAAGGTCGACGTAGAACGCTGCAGTACAAAATCATATTAATATGTAGAAAAATTTTTATTAACCATTATGAGGCTTCCCGTCACCCTGTCACAGCTCGTGTGCATGTGCGTGCTGGGCATGAGACTTCTTGCTATCTGCAGAATTGACCAAGCTCAACATAATGTCGAAGTACTATGTACAGAGTATACAGTACTCGAGGTTGTCAACTGCTGGTATGTTCTTCTACCTCATCTTCAAGCATGTGATCCCATGCGCACTTCTAATGTCAGAAACTGGAGAGCTTTCGACCCCAAACATTATAACGAAATCAGATTTCGTCCGAGCTAGAAGCACTCCTGCTTGTTTATGACGTCGTATGAAATACGATAGAACCAAAGTGACACATGTTAAGCTCACCGTCCGTTCTCTCAAGAAATAACAATTTTGGAACTTGCTTGCAAGTGAAGAAAAACTATGTTGTATGCATGACTTGAAAAATACTTCCTATGCTAAATCTTAGATAACTATAATTCATGACTTCAGATGAAGGTGTCGTTCAAAATTTAAACAATAAGACAAACTTACATGGAAACTCAAATAGTTGGTACATATGTACTCTGAGCGGGTTCGAGCTCACCCTCACATGGACGCGGTGTGCTGCCATGAAAGGCAACGCTGGAGGCCCTTTCCTTCGTGTCACCTCTCTGAAACTGTCGACTGTCAATGAGCAGAACAAGAGCACGAGCTGCCACGAGAGCCCAGGGCAAACTTTTCGAGGCTTCACAATGTCACATGCATCTGGTGGGCTTCCTTGCCCCTTCCTTCTTGGTTGGGCTAGTCGTCAGGCGAGGATCAGACACGTAATCCATCAGAATTTCCTTCTGCGTACTTCTTAGAGTTCAACGCGCTCTAGCACGTCTCCAGGCACGAAAGTCTCCACCTCAAGGATTGGACCACTTTCTGGGTACACCAGGGTCAATGGGATTCCACGTTGCTCTTCGTGGCCATCTCAATGGAAGTGGAGCCCACTTTAATAGTCAGCTTATTAAAAAGCAAATCGTCCGTGTTTTCTTTTGTGAACCGGCATGTGTGTTCAGATCCCCTAGGCCTATCTCGGCTACTGCGGGGTAAATTAATACTAACTCGTCCGCCACCAAAAATATGAAATAAAAGTAGACGAGATTTAGAAGGCTGAGCGCTTGCTTGGTATGAGGATTGGTTGATCTTTTGTCTCCCGTCAAAGTAAATCTCTTTCCACGAGAGACTGCTTCAAGCTTCCTTCTATAACAAAATCTTGGCATCTCGAGTGCTCAACCTGATATCCGCGGCCTTAATGAATGTTTTTTTAGAATCAATGGAATTTTTAGGAAGCAAAGTAATCTTTTCTGGTGCTTATTCGACTATTTCACATATTGGACTCGATGATCGCTCATATCAAACTGTCAGTTCGGATTGTGCACATTGGAAAGAGAGACTCTATATTTCAGATAGGAAAGCACTAGAGTTTCTAAGGAGCACGGAAGAGAAGAGGGATAATCGGTCAACTTAAGGGACTTCGAGATCAGAAATCCAGCTCTCCTCCTCCTCATCTGGACCTTGGTGACAGAGAAAATTTCACATCCTGATGCTGCTCAACGAGAACGTGGATAGGAGGACAAGATCAGCAGCTGAAACGAAACTCATGAGGGATGTTTCGTGCAAGTGGACTGCCAAAGTTCAATCCTGGTGAGACTCGGCTTTCAGGACATTGCATCCACGTCTGCTCATACCGCTGCTGACATGCGGTAGTACAATCTTCTGGTGTTTGTATGAAGATTTGGTTAGATGGTGTTCTTCTGTGGCCTCTTCGTTGGCCTAGGTCGCTTCAATGCTTATGATGGACAGCGATCTTTACATCCTCATCTCAAGCCCAAAAAGTTCACTGGACAAGACATCATCTCGCCATGAAAAATTAGAGTTCTTACGTGTCTCACAATTATGAGGCAAGGAATCACCTCATGCGAACCCTGACTTTCGTGCACATGAGAAAATCTTTCGATGCTGATGTATTTTTGTGCGATCTCTACTTTTTGTTCTGTTACGTCAAAGCAAGCAATTCTATTATCTTGCCACGTCTTCTCTCCATAGCTGACAGTTTCACCAGCCTCGTCCTTTCTTCTGTTCTGATTGCGTGGAACTTTCTTCTTCCCGATTTAATTGCTACATTATGCGGTCACCTCAATCTTCTTCTTCTGTGCACACCGAAGACATAAGCATAAGTACAAGCACCTAGTATATGCTACTCCTGTTATTTCGATAGCAGTCGAACTAGTTGACAATATGTTTACCAAGAACTCCGGAATCTGCTAAAAGCCCTCATCGGAACAGGTGCAGAAGGAAAATCCTCACTACCTTTCTGCTTACCAAGTAGGTGAGCTTTAATTCCTGTGCAGTGGAAATTGCAGAATCTGGTGCGGAAGAGGATTTCTAGTCACAATCTGCTCTTGCAATGAAAACCGCATTAAACAAGCGATATTGATGAGGAGGTGCTTGGAATTAGTGGACGGCATCAAGCAATCCCCATCGTTCGAATGGATGGAAGACACACACTTTTTATGATGAACCGCCCCGCCTACGTCAGAGGCATTTGACTCACAGGGTTGCTTGTTAAAATTCATAAGAGTGGTACGAGTCCACTGTCAGTGCAAATTTCATGCAGCCATTTGCAGCGGGTCAGTATCGCTTACAGGTCTAGCGGAGTTGCTAACAGAACTTGAATGTGCATTAAGCTCAGTTTAGCCAGTCATAGGCCCCGATATGATGACAGTAGTTTTGGGTCTGATTGACCGATGAATACAGTGATTGATGGACCGTGGTATTGAATATTACATTCAGAGGGAGAAATGAATAGAAGAGTGTTTTGTAATTCACAAGCGTAATGCGATTGTAACAAGAGGGGCACTTGAATGTTGGCAAGTCTGAATCTTTATATGTTTTTACAAGTCCGAGTAGATTTCATCGAGCCGTCGAATAGCCAGTATAGATCATAAGTGTTGCTATTTAATTATGATTTATTTCTGATGCTTTCTAGCAGATTCTGATCTTACATCGATGGTACACAGTTACAGTATACTTATTTATCACTGACTCAGTCAACCTGCTGACCTCGAAGTCAAAACTTCCCATAGCTTGATTCTCTATCGACTGTTCTTGTCTCCACTGGCTGAAACTACGTCAGTCATCGACACGTAAGATCGCACTTGCCATGGGGCGTGAATCATATTTGCAAATGAGGAGCATTGGTAATATAGGTCTCCAAATCGGGATCCACCTTCATATTTTTTTAATGCCTCCCGACTCACTAGAATTGCTCATGGTGAAGAATCGAGTTTAGCTACTGGAGCACGAGCAAGTCTGAAAACATTTAGCGTATGTTATGTTAGAAACTATTTTCAGAATCTGTAGCTATTCCTGTGTCTGGAAGGTGAGGCTTAGATTCCTTGCATCAAGAAGGCTGAACACTTTTGTTCTTGTTGCTATTTGCCAAAGTTAGGATTCTCCTTTCTTGCACTAATTTGCACTGGACTGCATGCTTCAGGCAGACATTACTCTTGATCTTCATATTGCATTTGACTTTGATTGATCTATTCATATTCGTCAACAAAACGCATTTTTAAGCTGACTTCGAGTTTCCCATTTCGAGTTTTGTTATCTCGTTCTATTCTGCTGGAGTTGGCCGTGACTAAAATCCGCCACCAGAGGCTATTTCGACTTGCACAATGAGTCTTCCTCGCCAAATCCAGACCATGATTCGAGGGTTATATGACTCGACATCTCTACCTAAAGAATTTAGCATCTTGTTGGACTTCGTATCCATTACTTCTCATCCCCTTAAAGCTCTGAAAGCTAGGTCCTCCGGCTTGCAGCATAGAGTACATCATGCATGGATTTACGTAAACATCTACATCAAGCAGTTTGGAAAGACTTGACGAGCGGATTCATTTCATTATTGTTAGAAATCTGGGACAAAATCTGCCTTAGTGGAGAACATAGTTAAGGACTCGAGATAAAGTGATGCTGGAACTTTTGCTATAGAATCCTTCGACTCCAAGTGAAAGCACGAGCTTACGTCTGCTTTAGCCTGGACATCATCAATGCAGAAGTTATTATGTCCTGTGTTAACTGGGTGTTGCTTTTCCTCGCATCTACCGGGAGTTTTCCATGAAACGAGACTACAGAGTGGTTTACACGAAACAACAAGGGATAGCTTGGTAGGGAAGCAAGATCCCACCCCAATCTGAAAATGTCAACCTGTCTTCGGAAAAGTCATCCAGTAACCGATTTCCAGAGCGACGCTACAGTGCTGCTGAAGTTCTCCTACAGTGTACTTCATGTATGAAATAGAGAGGCATCTGCTGCATTTCATGTCCAATGCTGTGTCGACACGTTCTGCTGCGCGTTTTAATATTTGATGTCATCTGGAATTCCGTCCGTTTAATCCGGATTAGAGCAGCATGGGAGTCAAGATCGAAAGTAAACTCGAAAACGTAATCTTGCCCAGGTGCTGTAAGGATTCAAGATTTCGCACCAATTTCCGAAAGGCGCGGAGATGGAGGTGGAAAACCCCGAACTACAATGCTGCTGCAGTAAGCGCAGCCTCTCCATCTCATATCCACCGTGTGTCGACGCGTTCTGCGACGGAACGCGTCGACACCTCAATTACTTAATGCAATGTGGAAGTCCGTCAGAGTCCGGAAGTCAGCTTCAGAGAGTTCGCTAGTTTATCGTTTGAGATCTCACAACTCACTTCCGTTCGGGTTGCGTTGCCTCTGTGATCATGAGTTGGCGAATCAAGGTAACATTTTCTGTGTCTCTTGTGATCGTGAGTTTGATCGGGGTAACGTGTTTGGAGAGAGTGAGTTCGGAGATCAAGGTACCCAGTTTTGAGAGTGTGAGGAGCTGGTATGAGAGTGTCAGCGCGACAACGGAGGGTGGAGTCCACAATGATGTGGAGCGATCTCTCAGAGAAGCTCTGAACTTCAGCCCGGATGATATTGATGCGATCCGGTCTAGCACCTCTGTAACGACGATTTATTACTGCCAGTCCGCTTTCGGTTCGACAGGCTCCTTGCGAACGACAGGCTCCTGGCGATCGGAATCGCAGTGCGAATCGGCAAGGCGAGCACGTTTCCATGGACTTCCCCACCATGATTTCGCCGTCGTTCGTCTGACAGCAACAAACTCCGAAGGCGAACTCCTTGAGCTCTACATCAGCGCCGAAAAGGAAGGTAGAGGACAAGGAGGAGGGACTCCGGGGATCTACATCAACTTACTGACCGAGTGTGAGCTCCAGAACCTCCAGGCTAATATACTAATAATATGGGATGGTTTCTCGATCCAGGTGCCGCTCGATGTTCTTACCACAGAGCTTTTTGAAGGACATGATACAGACTATAACCTCCTCAACAAAAATTGCTGGAATTACGCGAAGGCAGCGTGCAGAAGTGTATTCCGGCTCCTAAGCCAGCAACCTGGTGTCAACCCTGAACAGAAGCAAATCTTCTTAGAAATTGCTGGGGAGGTGAGTATCTATGTAGCCACAAAAGTCATTTGGGAAGCCGTTAGAGGAATTGGAGTTATTAGAGGAATTGCAGGTATTGTCGTGATCATTTCACTTATCTGGACTGGTGATAAAATTAGAAAGTTGTGGAATACTTGGAGTAGCAGACCTGACGACTCCAAGGCTAAAGAGTCTTAATATGGTGCTTGATGTATGAATTTCATTCGTTGAGCTCACAATTCATTGGACAAAAAGCAAGGCCTCTTCCAGACTTCTTGTGTTACAAATGTATATTGAAGTTTATTGCTTAAACCATAAATCCTTCTTGTTTTCAAGTATATATTGAGGTTTAGCTGTTTAAGGTTAAACCTCAAGCCCTAGATATAATTCTTGCTGCTTCTTAGCCAGCAACCTCATGTCAACCATGGGCATCTGTAGGAGAAAACAAATACCAAAACAATGCGGAAGAAAGTCCTGTGCGTGTACTGACTGTGTAAGTACTGTCAGCGACACAAGTAGACCATTTATTGTCTTGCCCCGTACCTTCACGGGAATTTTCAATCCCGCTTCCATGGCAAACAACCGACCTGCCAGAAAAAATGACTCAAAAATAGAACACTTCTGATGCTCTATCCATTCATAAAAAAACGAAAATTAAACAAAATTTCCCCTATGCGGAAATGCAGCAAGCGAGACAAACTGAACGAAAGTCTAGTTCTCATGTGTATGATCACTCCACACTGTTAGACACAATCCACTCACGGTAAGAAAGGCCATGCTTCCTGGAAACGCCTAGCAGGACCTAGTGCGTGTAGAGGCATGAAACTTGACACGTGATCATTTTAGAATTCTTGCTGCTTATTAGCCAGCATCCCGATGTCAACCATGAGCACAAATAGGTCTTCTTAGAAAATGCTGAGGTGAGTCGCCCTGTAACCACAACAGCCATTTTGGAAGCCGTTAGAGGAATTGCAGTTATTGTCGGTATTACTTTACTCATCTGGACTGGTGATAAAATTAGCGAGTGGTGGAATACCTGGAGGAGCAGACCCACAACTACAAGGCTAAAGAGGCCTAGTATGGTGCTTGATGTCTGAATTTCATGCGTTCAGCTCACAATTCATCTGACGAAAAGCAAGGCCTCTTCCAGACTTCTTGTGTTACGAATGTATATTGAGGTTTAGGGTTAAACCCCATACCCTAAATATTAATAGAAGCAGCAAGAAGTATTCTTGCTGCTTCTTTGCCAGCAACCTGATGTCAACCATGAGCAGAAGCAGATCTTCTTAAGAGATGCTGTGGTAACCCACTTTTTGTTTTTCGTCGGAATTAGAACATTTTTGATTAGTAAGTACCGTGGTAGCAGCTGTAAATAGTAATCGGTACGCAAAGCCAGAGTAAAAAGAGGATCGAGGACAGTCAAGGGGTTTTGGGCTTAGGCCACAGTGGAACGCTTGGAATGGAACGGGCGGTTCACGCTGCAGGACTCGCTTCGAGCACCTTCGGCGGTAGATCACTCATAACTTCCTCAATTCTTAACGCCTTGAGTTACTTAGGGTCTCGTTGGAAAGAGATCGACGCGCTCGTTCTAACGAGCCCAAGAAAGCCTGGAACGGATGAGGACTCAGGGAGTTGTGACTGTCGGAAGATGCGAAGGAGAACGCCTACGGATAGGCGGAAGGAGTTCGTCGTCAGCAGAATATCCACCTTCGGCCCTAGATGTTCGCCTTCGGCGACGGACGTCTTCGGGTCAACTTCAAGTCGGAAAACTCGAGGTCGGAGAACTCGAGGTCGGAAAACTTGAGGTCGGCGAACTCGAGGTCAAAGAACTTCAAGTCAGCAAACTCGAGGTCGGCAAACTTGAGGTCGGCGAACTCGAGGTCAAAGAACTTCAAGTCAGCAAACTCGAGGTCGGAAAACTTGAGGTCGGCGAACTCGAGGTCAAAGAACTTCAAGTCGGAGAACTCGAGGTCGGCGAACTTCAAGTCGGAGAACTCGAGGTCGGAGAACTTGAGGTCGGCGAACTCGAGGTCGGCGAACTTCAAGTCGGAGAACTCGAGGTCGGAGAACTTGGAGTCGGCGAAACATCGTGCGGGCGCCTTCGGCGATAACAGATAACAAGCCTTCGACAGTGTGCCTTCGGCGAAGGATAAAACCGGCATAACTCTTTCAACTCGTAATGGTTTGACTCAGTTAGGGTCTCGTTACAAAGAGCTCGACGCGCTCGTTCCAACGAGCCCAAGAACTCTTGAAACGTATCAAGGATCTGTGAGTTATGGGTGTCGGAAGTGACTGTTACAAATAGGCAAAGGTGCGGAAGTGCGTCTTCGGCGGTCAACGCCTTCGGAGAACTCGGAGTCGGCAAACTCGAAGTCGGCAAACTCGAGGTCGGCAAACTTCAAGTCGGCAAACTCGGAGTCGGCGAAACTCAAGGTCGGCAAACCGGATGCGGTTCAGAGATCTTGCGGAGTCCATATCTTTGTAATGGACGGTCGGATGGATCTGAAATTTGGTAAGGCCGTTGATCTCAGTTGGCCACGCATGCCTGCAAATATTCAGCCTCAGATCTCGGATGTAAAGACGCTGGCGGCTCTGTACAGTAGGCTTAGGATTCAGATTTAGGGTTAGGGTTAGATTTAGGTTGTAAGTTAGAGGGCAAGGTAGCCGCCGACTCCTCAGGTGTAGGATCTATTGCGGCTCGCACCCTAGCGGGTAGTGTAGTGTTAGTTAGGACCTTAGAAGGTATAAAGTAGTTCAAGGCGTTTTGCCTTTGGACTCTTCCAGTTTCGGAAGTGCAGATCAGGAACTCACTTTCTTGGCGTGTTTGTGCATTTTGGTCCTGGCACCACGTAGAGAAGCTGCAGCATAGCGAAGTTACCGTATGTTGTAGTTGAAGGCCTTCGGCTGAATGTTCAGAGCTAGTACCCGGTTAGAGACTTGAGTAGTGCGGATCTGCACCTGCGGGTGATTTCTGATGCTCAGAGCCGGCTGCGAGTTAGATACTTGAACAGTTCCCCCCTACTCCTTCGAGTGACATATCCTGATTGTACTCCTACGGGAAGTTTCCCCTGAATGCCAATGTGAAGTTTCATTACTTCGTGTAAACCTTGGTTTGTAATTCAGGTTGTGTGTGTGTTACTGGATCGTGTTTTCAGTAAGTTCTCAGTCGGGTCTGCACTCCCTGCGTTTGGTGTGATAGTCGAGGGTGACGTCCACGGCGTATGTAGAGGCTTCGTTCCGAAGTGGGAAGTCCAGTCCGGGTACCCCCGCTAGTTCTTGGCGGAAGGGCAGTAAAAGCCGGAGTGGGAGGCACTACCTGCAGAACCTCTGAGTGAACTTGTGAGACACTTTCCTCCTGAAATCCGAAGCGGAGGTCCTGACCGACCTCCGAGTTGTGCTTTTTGCCAGTTTCAGGTGTGTGTGTGTGTGTGTGTGTGTGTTGAGTGACCACGCTGTACCGTGCATCCTCCGAGTTGAGATCCTCCTCCGAGTCAAGCCTCCGAGTCGAGCACTGCAGTATTTCTGGGAGTGACAGTCGCCTAGAATTCAAACTCTACAAAAGTCTGTTAAACGTGACACTTTTACTCTGTGTGTTGCCTCTGTCCCTGTGGGTTCGATCTTTTTACCACCATACTGCAGTTTTAGCCTTTGGTGGGTTATTACAGATGCCCAGGAGGTGAGTCGCTCTCTAACCACAAAAGCGGTTAGAGGAATTGCAGTTATTGTCCTTATCACTATACTTATCTGGACTGATGGAAAAATTAGAGAGTGGTGGAATAATGGGAGGAGCAGACCTGACGACTCCAAGGCTAAATAGGCCTAGTATGGTGCTTGATGTCTGGATTTCATGTATTTAGCCCACAATTCATTTGACATAAAGCAAGGCTTCTTCGAGACTTCTTGTGTTACAAGAGTGTAGTGATGTGACGTCCATGAGTGTAGAAAATGAATCACTGATGTCTCCGGGATGCAAGAACCTATGTAGCATGTGACCTTTGATATATCCAAATTAAGCGATAAACTGGAACTAGAATTAAGTAGAATTTGTTGTTTTATATAGAATTAACTAAGACCAAAAGTATTATAGGGTTTAGAAAATGGACTGAAAGACCAATTGAATCTTCTCAAAATCCACTATAGGACTGATCAACCTTGGATTTTCGAAATAAATTCCACGTCATAGGTTATGATATTTTTGCGTAGTAAAAATGAAGTAAGAATCAATGTACAGTTTTTATTTTTGAAGTACAGTAGATTCTATATCATAGATGATATAAGACACGGATACTAGCAATGGCTACACATGTAGGAGTATCTCACGGAGGGTGTATTATTAAAAGAATCAAGAGTGGTATGTTTTTGTCGAATCATAAGAATTTGTATTGTTAAGATTAGGGAGTAAGAGAAAATAGGGTTTGCAGCATGAATTCATTCCCAATGCTCTATGTTGAAGATGAATGTCAAATCATTTAGAATAGAGAGTATATAGTTTGTAGTAATAGAAGGGTTATTCACAATGTAATACGTTGAAAAGGAATCTAAATAAAATCATACCGGTTTACAATATAGAGTGATTTTGATTTCACCTGTGATAGACATACAAAAGATCAGGAGAGCAAAATACTGTTAGAAAGCATCCAAATCGGATGATGGTGAGTTCAGTGAACTATTATAGGTAATTTAGGGTTTTGGTCGATTGATTATGCGTCTCTTGTACTACTTAAGCGTCTAGTGTGCTTGTCGCGCCAAATAATTTATCTTTATGTTATCGTGTACGTAGCCAAAAATGTGATTCATATGTGCATCTTCTCACGCGTTTGCATTCTCATTCGCATAAATTTTCCAAAGACAAAGACAACGTGAGTAGCAGCGCCAGGTCATGAATGAGAGATCAAGAAAGAGATCGCTCCAACAAATTGTTTTCAAACCGAGGTCCTTGCGTTCTCGGCAAAGTTCCGATAAACGTCAACCAAGGTATTTTAGACTTACCATCATCTAATCATCGAGTGCAGGGCTTGAAAGCATAACCTTTCATTGGACAATGGTCAATTATTGGACATTTATGGTCAGTGGAAATACATTTTTTTTTTTTATAAGAGTTATAAATGAGTGGAAAAAATCATTTGTACAAATATCAAAAGCGACAACTTCAAACGTTCAGAAACATCAGATGTCCGCCATGAAGTTTAAAGTGGCAATATATGATATAGTCAAATATAACGGACGTGATAACTATTTGGTCCAGGAGAGACAAGTCAAA